TTCACTTCACTCGAGTCTTCCGTCTTCCGTCTTCCGCCTTCCTCTGGTCCAACATGTTTCATTGTTCACTTTAACAAATACCTCGACAGTAATGCGCCTGGCTGTAACCATAACAAGAGGTGAACACCTTAGCTATCCCCGTGAAGAAGAGTCAGCTAGTGGCCATCTCCAAAGCGGCTTCACGAAGAACCCCCCAGCCAACAGTGACGCGTCTAGATCTAGGCTCTGTCAATCATGGCATCACCAATCGAGCCCTTCACTGTTGCAGACTTCTACAGGTGTCGGCTGTTCCGCCTGAGCTTCAATGCCATTGTGCTCCTTGACATTCACTAACAAGGCCCCCGGTTCCTTTGTCCCTCGAATCGTGGTGACTGGGGACGTGGCGCTATCTGACGAGTAACTAACATCGAGCAATGTTCTGCTTGTAGTGGAGACTGGCCTGCAGAGTTGGAATGTCGCTCTGGTGTCGGTGTAACACTGCATAATCTCGGTTTCTTCCGTGAAGGCAGGCTGGCCAGGAAAACTTGCAAGTGAATGTGAAGCTAACATTCACGAAATCTGGTGGCCATATTTGCGGGATTGTGAATGTGGTGGTTGGTGTTGATCGGATTGTTTTGAGGGGCTCGAATCTCGAAGCATAAGGGAAATCCAACCCCCCACGAGTTGATGCTCGTTCCACTTTTATTGTTGCATGCAGGGATGCCGAGTCGATCCGAACCTTGTTCAAACCTTATTCACCATTCGCTTACCCAACTTTCCGCCGACTCCATCAGGATTATCATCTCTTCGTCATACGAATCCCGTTCGCCACCACTGCAACATCAAACACAAGCATGAGAACCGCCGACATGGACCCCGAGGCCAAGTGCCCCGTTGATGACAAGACTCGTCAGAAATGGCTAGAAGCCGCAAAGGCAAAGAACCAGCAACAGCAGCAACCACACCAGCCACAGCCACAGCAACCTACTCCTCCACCACGCATGCGCCTCCGACTGCCTCCCACGGCGCGATTCTCCCTTGACTCCGGTCTCTGGGTCCTCCCCGACTCGCCCGACTCACGACCACAACCCAGTCCATCAGCCCTTGACTCTCAGCGCGAAATCTCCAGCATCCCGCGCTCGCTACAAACCGGCAAAGCCCTCAACGCCGCCGAGCGTGCTGCTCTGCCCTCCAATGCAGAGAAGGACACAGGGCACGATGAAGCCTCCGGAAACTGGATCTACCCATCTCAAGAGATGTTCTTCAACGCCATGAAGCGCAAGGGTCACGAGGCGCAAGCACAAGACATGTCTTCCGTCGTTCCCATCCACAACGCGGTCAACGAACGGGCCTGGGCGGAGATCAAGAAGTGGGAAGAAGGACAGGGTTCGGAGGCATGCGGTGGGCCGAAGCTGGTGTCTTTTGCTGGAGACAGCAAGGCCTTGACGCCGAAGGCGAGGTGGAATAACTTCATTGGGTATGCGCTGCCCTTTGATCGTCACGACTGGGTTGTCGACCGATGTGGAACACACGTCGATTATGTGATCGACTTTTACTCGGGCAAAGGCGAGGGTTTGATGGGCAAGGGCTTGAACTTCTACTTGGACGTCAGGCCTAAGCTGAACAGCTGGGAAGGCGTGAGGATGCGGGCCAGCAAGATCTTTGGGATGTGAGGGTGATCTCGCGTTCTGATATGCAAACTTCATCATCGTCAAGGTACCTATCGCCATTCGAGACGATTCCGCTGCCGTAAGCCGATGCCAGGGCTGCACGGCCGAGCAGACCTCGCCAATACACTCCCATCTTGGCACTTCAAAGGTCGTGCGATACCTGGAAATATTCTCCATCGCCGCACTGCAATATCTTGGCCAAGGTAGAGCGCAAAACAGCAGCTCCCTGGCTATACCCTCGCCACTCCGCTCACGCAGTTATCCTACCCAATGAGAGAATCTGGATCGGTTACTACCTGTCCCCCTGGTCCCCCAAACGGAGTGCGATAGGTCGTATTACCCGATCGGCAAAACATCATACTGTACTACCACGATGCTAATTGTAAACCACCATGTACATATAAATACACATACACATACAAACTCTGTATCAACACCGATATCAACACCAACACCGACCCTAACAGGAAAGACGAGAACAGACGAATGGTGGTAGGTGGTAAGACATTAATTCATTTATATCCTCATGTCTAATAAACTACAGCACAGCCCTCTAACAATCCTCCCCACAAACACTCTCATAGCTCACTTCGCGCGGGCTGGAAGTCGTTGAGACGGTTGGAGAGGCAGATCTTGCGCTTGTTCGCTTGCAAGCACCCT